CCATTGCTCTTGGTGCTAGCTTAGCAAACCCAAAATAGAATAGAATGTATTGCCAGTGTGTGTGATTTCAATTCATACTAAGTAAATATTGTCAACTCGTTTTATTCTGAGACTATTATAATTTAAGTGATTAATTATTTCAAATCATTATAATTTCATATTAATGCCATCTTAGATTGGATTAAGGATGGTTAAGCAAGTAAGGTAGTATTAAATTGCTAACAGGTACCACTGTTTGGTTGACCCTTTTTCAGCAACCTATTTTTTATGGTGACTTGAGGTGGTGGTAGTTGTATCTTCTATTTATTGATTGGTTTCAGTGTACAGAAAGTATTTTTAGGTTCTTATCTATTTCCTTCTTCACTTTGCTTCTATTTTGATATTTAAAGCACAGGATTTTTGTTGCTCTTGGTTGGATATTTGTTCATTCATCTGCTCATTCATTCACTCAGTGTTTATTAATCACCTGTTATGAATTCCACACACTGTTGTGCATATATCAGTAATTTTCTGGTTACCAGCCATGAATATCCATCAGAAATCTCTCAAAGACATGCATTTTTTATCACTGGATTTTTACTTATTCATTTTGCTGTGTCAATTTTGTTATATTTATGAAGATTTTAAATCCTGCTTAATAAATTGCATTTATTCAGGTTGTATATTGTAAGTTTCTTTTACCAAACTTTTGTAGCCCAAGATTCATTTCTACAGTACTTGCCTCACTGTCATATTGTGTATCAAATATAAGTTTAAAATTGAAGCCTCTCCTTTTGTACACGCCCTTAGGCCCTTTTATGACTTCATTTCTGCTGTTGGAAACTTTCCATTTTTCTGTTTTTCCTGTAGCATTTTGTTCATACTAAAGTTATGTGCATCTATTTCACATTGATTATTAAAAATGGATATTTGATATTTCTTTATATGCTTACTACCTTCATTGTATTTTGACAATTTTTTTTTCTTTTAGATTTTTAACTGGTTCTTATATCACTATTCAATTTTAACTGTATCTAAATTTCACTTTTATTCCTTTAAGTGTTGTTCCCAACTTCAGTGCAGAAGCAAGAAGCTGTAGAGGTCTTGAAAATACCAGTGTCACTGACCGTTCACCCACGGCAGTCTGAATCAATAGTCTGGAGTAGAGTCTGTTTATCTTTACTTTTTAAAAGCTCTTCAGAGGATTTTGATGCAATTCCATAATTGAGAACCATTAACTGTTGAAATGTGCAGTTATTTTTTACTCTAATAGATGCTGTCATAAACTTTTAGAGAGGGGCTAGGCTTTAGATTTTATTTGTACAACCCTAATAAAGTTAAAGGACTCTCTCATCTCAAGCCACACAGCTAGGCCACTGTGGGAGAATTCCGTTCCTCCACAGAGGAGAACTGAAAGAACCAGATCTTCATATTACATCCAGTGACGTAGGCCCTTTAGGCCGGTGGTCCCCAAACTTTTGAATACCAGGGACTGGTTCCATGGAAGACAGTTTTTCAGTGTTGGGGAGGGGTGGTTTTAGAATGATTCAAGTACTCAAGGGCATTTTACTATGCTCTTTATTTCTATGATTATATTGTATTATATAGTGAAATATACTGCTTATCATAATTAAGAATTTACAGACATTCCCTAGCACTAGTATTACTATCTCAGATCCTCCTCAGATCATCGGGCATTAGATTTTCATAAGAAGTACACAACCTAGATCCCTTGCATGCACAGTTCATAATAGGGTTTGTGTTCCCATGAAAATCTAATGCCACCCCTGATCTGACGGGAAGCAGTGCTCAGGCAATAATGCAAGTTACAGGGAGTGACTGTAAATACAGATGAAACTAACCTTGCTCACTCACCATTCTCCTCTTGGAGGGTCACCCAGTTGCTATCAGGCCACATACTGGTACCTGTCTAAGAGCTGGGAAACACTTGCTTTAGGCAACTCCTTTCTCACCTTGCTCCTGAACTGTATTCTGTTTTTCATTGATTTGGAAGGCAGCGTGTTTTGGTAGAAGCCACTCTGATCCATGGAAGGCATGACCTTGGGAATGCCTATTCTTAGCACCCTTCTCTGCCCACTGCACCTTTCTTGTCTTCTGTTAATACAGCTATCTGGGTCTAGCTTTGTGGTGCACTTGGTGAACTGAGCTGTGCTGGAAGCCACATGACCGACTGTGAGTTTTGATCCTGAGGTCAGCTTGAAAACATTCCAGACATGCATATACTCGATAGCCTTATGAACTAGAGGACTGGGGAAGGAGATCATGGTATGTTGAGATCTTATTGAGGGTGCTTTTCTTTCTCTCTCTTTCTCTCTGTCTCTCATGCTTGCATGCACACACTCTGTCATGATTAAAATAAGCTTAAAAAATATTCTTTTAAAGATAGCTATCTGTTTTACACTATACAGAAGAGAAACATTAGTATTACTACAAGCACATAGATCTACATGTGAATGAAGGCAATATTTCATTTCTCATGCTTAATAATTCAATTTTATATATACTAGAATTCTAAATATTATCCTTTAATCTAACTTAAAATTGCTCTGGCAATAATTTATAAAATCTTACTGTTGTTACCATTATCACATTATGCTAGTTAATAGAAAGTCTATTCCATAGTTACAGGAATATATAAAGTCAGAATTTTTGTGTATGTTTATTTGAAACCATTTACATTTTGCAGAATCAGCCAGCATCACCAATAGTAGAGCACTGAATGTTTTACATTATTTAAGCTTTGAAAACTAAAATCTAATTTAGCCTTAAAGATAGAATAGTATCACCAAGAGATAATTCAGGTCACAAAACAAAGTTTCTGATCACTCTCCACATTCTAGTGAGGTCTTCACAAAGTTCGTGGATGATGCATATTTTGAAAATATTATGCATGGTTTTCAACTTTTTTGGTACTAAAATAAACTTGTAATTTAACTCCACAGAATTTTTAGATACCCTTGTATATTTAACCTATGTTGTAGTAAACGTTAATAAAGCTATCTTTAACTTATGGTTAAATAAAAAAAAATGCTGTTGGTAGACCAAAATCTTGACATTGTTTATTGTACAACTAATGATTGATAGTTTTAAAAAATTGCCATAATTATGAGAGGGGAATAATTTCTAATATATTGTGTTTTTTCAAATGATGAAAACCTAAATCAAACTTCTTTTTAATCTTTGCAGAAAAAGAGGTGAATCATTGACTCATATAGATGGGATAAAGCTCTTCTTAGCAATCTGTTCCCTTTCTCTGTCTATCCCTATGTGATAGATTCATCCCTTTCTGTCAGAGACCCAGGTCATTGCTTAGTCCTGTGTTTAACAGGGAGAAAAAGTTTCATCCCCACACCAGCTTGAAAAACTTGGAGAAGACATTAAATAGCCTCCCTTGCCTTGCCTTGTTGTTGTAGGATAAGCATCTTTTAATAGAAGTGCAGAACTAGTATCCTCTCCTAGGAATAATGGGTACATCTATTAGCACTGTAGAAATGAGAGCTAACAAGTAATTCTAGGCTATGTAAAAACAAACTACAGCTTAACTGCTGTCATTATAGGCAAATGCTAAAATATTGCTGAAATTATATTCCAATCTAAATAACGAAGACTCAGTTGTCTTTCAAGGGATGAACATACCACTTAAATTTATTTTTTTTCCTTTTTTTTGTTTTAAGAAAATTACTTCTATAAGTAGAATGACCAACGAATCTGGTTTTCCTGTGACCATTAGGGGTTCCTGAAGCATGAGACTTTCAGTGCTAAAACCATGAAAATACTAGGCCAAGTTTACCTTAACTCTAAGAATGCTAAAAGGTTAATTATTACTGGTCTAAAGAATAGATGTTTCATAACAATGATGTTTAATTTGTTCCTCTCTATCTCTGCAAATCTAAAATCTACCCATATTTTAAGGCTCAGCTTAAATACTACTACTTCCTAACCAGCTGAAAATAATCTCTTCCTCTTCTGAATTCACATTGCATTTTATCTGTACCATTTTTATTCCACTTAGGGCTTTAAAATGCCTTTATCAGGGTTATCTGTACATTTATTTTATCTCAGATACTACATGGAAAGTTCTTTTAGGGTATGATGTATGATTTATCTTTTATCCCCCATAGCTTCCTGAATCGTGTTTCACAGTTACTATATAAAAAAGGATTTATTAAGAGGAATGAATGAGTCCACATGTGAAATAGATACATTGATGGTATGAAATATACCAATCTGTACTGAGGGGAAAAAATTCCAGCAATATGGGACACGGAATACATAGCTTTTGGTCCTATCACTGGATAAATATGTGATTTGGAATGAATCACTAAGTTACATGTGCATGTATGTATGTTGCAGTTTCTTCAGCCAAAATCTGAGTTTCAGCTAGATCCTCAATGCTATCTAGTGATGTGTTTCAGTGTTTATTATTAGCGTGGTCATCCATTGTTTTTAAAAACTAATCCCAATTTTCTGTGCTATACAGTCCCTTCTTCATTTCTGATAGATGATCATGACTCCTACTTTGCAGAGAAAATTCAGCCTGCAGGAAGAAACTCATTCACTCCACCCTCATACATTATTGTACTTAAATATTTAAACGTGAGTGTCAGGAAGGAATAAACAACCATGCTTGTCTATATTTGTAATTCAGAATATTATATATGCTTTAAATGATCAAAGTACAGTATTTCTAGATCTTTTTCGGGTTAACCATTTTTTATTCTGAGATCCAAGTAAAGTAGATTGTTCTAAAATTATTATTAGTCATCTTATATTTAATATCCTTCTAAGTGATTTTTATAGGAGGAAAGTTATCTGTAAAAAATATCTAGTTAATTTTTTGAAAAGTTTAACCAACAACTCTTGAAAGAACAAATTCATCAGTGTTTTCAAAATTCACATTCAAATATGTAAAAATATTGCTTTCATCAATTTTCAATTAAAACGTGATTATTATGCAGACTTTTATACATTTTTATAACTCAGTTTTCTATTGTTTTTAGCTACTGATGCAAATGTGAAGAATGAAAGTCTTTCATCTGTGCAGCAGCTTGGCATTAAAATGACTGTCAGGTATATTATGGGGAAATATCTCTCTTGTGCATTTCTAGAATTTATCTGCCTGATATGTGTTTAATAGTATTTAATTTAACAACCAGCTATTTTGTATACTTTAAATGCAGAGTTTATCATTTAGGAAATAATAACTTTGTTTTTGAGGATATTGGCTCATGATTGAATTACCTCTGCAGGTAAATCAGTTATGGTTCATTGTTATTCCAGAGACTAATTACAGTGTGTTTAAGCCTCTATGACGATCAGGTTTTCTCCAAAAATAGCATTGTAAAAATCAGCATATTGGCAACACAATCACACTGTTTTTCTAGAAATGATTAGTTTAATGTCAAGCTGTGGTGATGAGTACAAAAGTACCCTAAAGGATAAATGCTAAAGTTAAAATGAATAAAATAATTTTACTCTAAGTTTTTAGTGCATAAATTATGATTTTCAAAGGAAATGAGCAAGCTAAATGGAGAACTGAGAAATAAGGACCGAGTCCTTGAAAACTTCCCTTTCTTGCCTCTGAAATGGGGATCTTAGCAGTCCCATTTTATGTATAGGGTCATTTTTGGGTTCAAGTATGAAAAAGACACATCTGAGCACTATTTAAAAGGTGATGATTTCATAAATTCACAGTATGATTAAAATTAATTTAATTCTAGCTCTTCCACCTCTATTATATAGGACAACTAATTCTTTTGATGCTTTGTGATCCTATGCATGCTTTTTACCCCAATATTTTGTAATGCCCCATTTGTATTCTGAAATGCAATCTATAGATAATATAAGTACAAAAGTCACATTTTTCACTCAATATGATATCTTATTTGTGAGAAATAAATGGGAAGTGATTTTAAATGAAATGTTTTAATACACTGCAATATAAGATATAGCAGGTAGTCATATGCAGAATCACTGTGACCAAGGCAGCTACAAATAAAGAGTGATTTTGTTTTGTTGCCTCGTGTACCACAAGTGGTGTTGCCACTGGTAAAAGGATTTTCTAAAACTGTGAACAAGTCTCAGTAAGGTTTCAGACAGAGTAAAAGTACTATATTTCCTTGATTTACAGATAGTTGCATTTATTATATATTAAAAATATAGAAGTTTATATAAAACAGTTTAGGTAGTATTAAACAACTTTTTCACCCATTGCAAGTGATATGACATTTGCAAGGTATTGCGCAAGACTGTCCATGTCTAACCTCTTGGCCTTTGCTCACTAAGTATCAGTATTGTCTCCTGGCCACTATGATAATCAGAAATGCCCCTATGGATTTTTAAGGTGACTCCTGGGGGAAGTGCCATCTCCATTAAGGACTGTTGTGCTAGATGGACTCTAAAGTAAGTTACTTCTAGACTTAGCATTCTGTAGAACTAACCTGTCAACATTCCATGTTTTAGATTAAACTACTGCTCACATCCCAAATATCATTAGTTTGTTCTCTCATTACAGTTTTATATCCTTTTAAAATGATCAGATATTATAATAAAATAATCATCATTATCAGGAGCACACATTGAGAAGGTAGTATTTCCTGAGTACTCTGTATAAGAAAGTTACACTAAAAGTAGAAATTTAACAATTAAAACCTAGAAATCAGAAGAGGAATACACTCTGATGAATTATGTAACTGAATGTACAATGTAAGGCCTGATATTTTCTATTTTATGTATTTTTGTGGGTTTTTAATGCAGATATGGCAAGTTCCTTAATCTGTTAAAAGATGGTGCAGAAGAAGACCTTACCTTGGTTTTAAAGCACTGTGAAAGATTCCTGAAACAGCAGCAAGTGTCTGTAAAATCTTCTCTTCATATCCTTTTGAGTGAATTCACAATTGTTGAACTTTTTTCATAGTTCTTTGATTTTTTTATAATTCTTGAACACATGTAAGTAAAATAATTATGCTATAATAGTGATTTAGCATACTATTTTATTTTGTATTTTGGGTATTCATTGTGTTAAATAGAGTCATAATCATCCAATTATATTCATTGACTCTTTAACTAAGTCATTAGAATGTATTTTCAAACATATCTGAACATTTTTTTGTGGGGGTCATAGGGTACTTGTGCTTATGGGAAAGAAACAGAGGAAAATGAGAAATTACCCCTCAGTCTGGATGGCCATGCCATAATCTCTTCTCTTCCATTCAAGATTTTGGGAATGTGTACACATTCAGGTGGCATGATTTTCAAACCACCATGTCTAGGACTCCCCATGGTCAGCCATGTGGGAATCCTCCCCCTTAATACCACACTACTTGCTGACCCCACATCTAAGAACTTTTAGATAAAGGTTTTGAGGGGCCAGCAAATGGTATGGAAATTAAGGTGGCTGGATTTTACATGGCTAACTGAGTCCCAGACCTGGTGGCTTGAAAAATACTCCAGGCATGTGTGTGTGCATGATCAAAAATATCTGGAGAGGAAGATAAAGAAGGTATTGTAGCCTGACCATCTCCCTTTGGGGGGAGTGATCTCTCACTTTCTCTCTCTCTCTCTCTGTGTATCTCCTTGGTGAGCACATGTGTCCTATAGCAAAACTAAACAAAGAAACAAAACCCCCCAAAGATAGGTTTTTGAAGAGTAAGGCTGCTTCTTTTATTATATCCATATATGATTTTATTTGAATTATTTATCTTTCATAATTGGGATTAGATTTGAAAAGATCATATGCAGATGATTTACATTACTGAATTATATAAACATGCATGTATTGCATGTATTTTATTAATGTGTGGCTATGCTAGCCATTATTGGCCTGAACAATTGAATTTTCATAAAGCAGGTAGTTTTTCCCTTGAGTTGCTATTGCCATGAGCCTCTACTGGACATGTCAGCAAATTGTACATTAAAATAGTAATTATGAGGCCAGCAGATGGTGTGGGGGTTAATGCGCTAGATCTCACACATCTGAATGCAAGGTTTCAGTTCTTAATCCAATGCCTTGAAAATCATGCAGTTCCCATGTGTATATTTCCCTCACATCCCAAGAGCTCTAGAAGAAGATTGCAGCTTGGTCATCCCCTTTTTAGGGGAGTGATTTCTCTCTGGTGAGCACAAGTGCCTTGTAACCAAAACAAAACAAAACAAAAAGAAACCTAAAATACAAAATAATACTGAGTCATTGGAAAAAATCATGACATATTTTTCTATAAAAATGTGTGTCATGACTTTCCCAATCACACAATAATTATATAAGGGATTTTTCATTAATAAAGCTTAATTTTTATATGTTGGATGAAGATAAAATTAGGACTAAATATCATTAGTATTTCTTTCGAGTAGAGACTCCAGAGATGAATATTTATGAGGTTCTTATATTTTGTCTTGTAAGATAAAATACAGTAAAAGTTTCTTAACTGTTTTTTTCAGTCTGCCTGCAAGGGAATTACGCTGGCCATGACTGGTTTGTATCTTCGCTTTTCATGATAATGTTCGGGGACAAAGAGAAAACATTCCAGTTTCTTCAGCAGTTCTCCAGGCTTCTGACCTCTGCTTTCCTTTGGTTGCCAAGACTACATGTTTCTGTAAGACATTTTAATCTGTTCTCAAAGGAAGGCTTGAATATTTAAGGAACATCATAAAATCCCTGGGGTATTATTTTATTTGTATAGGGTGCTGTAGTAATTTATATTTATTTTTCCACCAGAATGTATTTTGACTGATTTCTCCTTGGTGTCTTACCTAATGGTAAGCAAACGAAAGATTAATACTAATTGAAGCGTTTTCTGGGGCCAGCAGGTAGTGTAGTGATTAAGGTACTGGACTCCCACGTGACCAACTATGGCTTGAGTCCTGGACCCAGCAGCTTGAAAATCATGCCGGGTGTGTGTACGTGCATGCCCAAAATCCCAGGAGGAAAATTGAGAAGGGATTATGACCAGCCATTCCCTCTGGAGGGTGATTTCTCACTTTACCTCTCACTTTTTTTTTTCTCTCTGGTGAGTGTACTCACCCTATGGCAAAAACGTTAAAAATATAACAGAAGCATTTTCATAAAATAAAAGCATGATAATGAAATAATATTATCATAATATTACCATAATTTATTTAGTAAGTTATATTATTTAAAGCCTGTATATAAAAAGAGGACTATTGAATGAATATTACTTATAATTGCTTTGTTAGAATCTCTTCATAGTTACATTGGGTCATTGGAAAAGTCATGAAGCATATTTGCATAGAAGAATGCTTCATGACTTCATGACTCTTCTTCCAATAGTATAAGAAAGTCATTATGAAGTAGAAATTATAGCTATTTTCTCTGGAAAAGAACCATTCATTTTATATACATTTTGGAAATATATACTGAGGTTTTATTAAGGTATTATGTATTTTAAAAGATTTTACTAGTCTTAGTGATATCTAAGAGGTGACTTTTGAGAGGTAAGTATATCTCTCAGTTTATTAATATATCTGTTAATTTTACTTACTCATTGATTGCATTTTGCTTAGATCTCTGGTAAGGGGAAATCAGCTATGCCAGTGCTTCTTCAACCTTTTCAAGACTTGTTTCATGAGGACAATGAAATCACGTGGCACACAAGGATAAACTTAGGGAACTGGAGAGCATTTCTGTGGAGTTAGATGAAAACATTTATTAAACATTTTTTAAAAATATGTATTTGTGGGAACCAGCAGTTAGCGTAATGGCTATGTCCCTGGACTCCCACGTAGTCGAACGCGGTTCACGTCCCGGACCCGGTGGCTTAAAACTCACGCCGGGCACGTGTGCGTGCGTGCCCAAGATCCCGAGAGGAGAATGGAGGAGAAGGGATTGTGGCGTGACCATCCCCCCGGGGGGTGATTTCTTGCTTTCTGTCTCTATGTCTCTCTCTGTCTGTCTGGCGAGCGCACACGCCCTACAGTGAAAATCTCCCCGAAAAAAAAAAAAATATGTATTTGTTGGGCCAGCAGGTAGCATGGAGGTTAAGGTGCTGAATCTCATGTGACTGGCTGTGTCATTTGAGGCCCAGACTCAGTGACTTGAAAATAATGCTGGGTGCATTCATGTACATGCCCCCAAAACCTAGAGAAGAATGGAAGAAAAGGAATTGTGGTGTGACCATCCATCCTGAGGAGGGTGATTTTCCTCTCTTTGTCTCTCTCTCTGTCTGTCTCTGGCGAGTGCACATGCCCAATAACAAAAAAAGTATTTGTGATAAGGAATAAAAGAAAAACATGAAGAAAAACATTAAATGTTGACCTTTTTATTGGGGTGGGTGGGTAGATTTTTTGCTATAGGATGCATGTGCTCGCCAGAGAGACAGAAAGCAAGAAATCAGCTCCCAGAGGTGAAGGCCACGTTGCAATCCCCTCTCCTCCTTTGCCCTCTCAGGATTTGGGACACACATGCGTGCACCTGACATCAGAATCAAGCCTCCGGGTCTGGGGCTCAAACCGTGATTAGCCATATGGGAATCCAGCGATGTAACCATTATGCCATCTGCTGGTCCCTTAAAATTTTTTAAGTTCCTAATTCTATGCTTGAAATAGCTATATGTGATTCCTGAATAAGACTTTCCAGTTCTTGCCCTTCAGCATGAGAAATTTTGCTCACAGGAATAAGAGGAAACAAATGGCAGAAAAGTCTGTACTGATTTTCCTCCAATCAATGAGAACTATTTTTCTGCTGTTAAACATTTTGAGTAATTCCATCCCTTTACATTGTTCTTAAAGATTTAAAAATTGTACAGCCCTTTCACTCTGGCATTGAAAATATAATGTTGAAAATCTTTTGATAATGGGTATGGATTTTGAGTAGAATAACTTACATTCATGTTGAATATTTGAAGTAATACATGCCTTCCACTAATCTTAACAGTACTGCTTTAGTGTTCAGATTATGACACTACCTAGACATCACCAGTGAATCATACTTAGTCGTAATTTTCTGAAGTTGTGTTTCTATTTTGTACCTGTATACTTTTTAATAACAAAATACCTTATTTTTCTATAATAGCAATGATGTTGTGTTCTGATAGCATTTCTTTCCATAAAACTGAAAACAGGCAGAACTCTAGCAACGTGGGTTTTATTTGACTTACCATTTTGATAGCATCATTTAATATGGAATTTAGATCTATGAATAGAATGGAGTGACACATTCCTGGAACTCAGAGTTTTCAAAATTAACTCTTTTTTTTTTTTTTTTTTTGAGAGATTTTCACTGTAGGGCGCATGCGCTCGCCAGACAGACAGAGAGAGACATAGAGACAGAAAGCGAGAAATCACCCCCCAGGGGGGATGGTCACACCGCAATCCCTTCTCCTCCATTCTCCTCTCCGGATCTTGGGCACGCACGCACACGCGCCCGGCGTGAGTTTTAAGCCACCGGGTCCGGGACACGAACCGCGGTCGACTACGTGGGAATCCAGCGACATAGCCATTACTCTAACTGCTGGTTCCCTCAAAATTAACTCTTGATATAAAGCCTTGACACCTTCCTGTTGGTGCAGGTGTACTGTCAATGAAGGTTTATTCGGTACTTTCCATAACATCATTTGTTCTTTTTGAGTACAAATAGAATGAGCTGAATACTTCATTACCAGTAGTTTGTTTTAGTGCTTATTTTTAAGACAAATAACATTCTGCTAAGATTTTTCTTCAAGAATTCTTTAACTTTTAAAAGGAGAGATTTTTGCTATAGGGCATATGTGCTTAACAGAGAGACAGAGACAGAAAACAAGAATCCACCCCCTCCAGAGGGAATGGCCATGCCGCAATTCCTTCTCTGCCATTCTCTTCTTGGGATCTTGGACACACACGCACACATGCCCAGCATGAGTTTTTAAGCCACCAGGTCTGGGACTCAAACCATGGTCGACTGAATGGGAGTCCAGCGACATAACCATTATACCATCTGCTGGTCCCTCTTCTTCAAGAATTCTATCTAGAATTGTTAGCTAAGTGCTGTTACTAATGCTGGTGCAGTCACCACTCCAGAGTATAAATATTTTTAATTTAGTAATCTTTTGGATCAGTATTTTCTTTATGTCACTTTACTTGGTAGTACACTAAATAACAATCTTAATATATCATTTAAAACGTGGTACTTTTTAGGGGCCAGCAGTTGGTGTGGTAGTGAAGGCACTGCCTCTTACATGGCCAACCACAGTTTGAGTTCAGACCTGGTGGCTTTGAAATTGTACCAGGTACATGTGCATGCATGCCCAAAATCCCAAGAGAAGAATAGAAGAGAAGGGATTGTAGTATGGTCATTTTCTCTTTGAAGGGCTTTCTCACTTTTCCTTTCTCTGTCTCTTTCTGTAGATTGTACATGCCCTGGCAAAGGTCAAAAAACAAAAACAAAAACAAAAGCTTTTTTTTTGGGAGAGGTTTTTGGTATAGGGCACGTGTGCTCACCAGACAGAGAGAGACAGAGAGATAGAAAGTGAGAAATCACCCCCCGGGGGGATGGCCACGCCGCAGTCCCTTCTCCTCCATTCTCCTCTTGGGATCTTGGGCACGCACGCACAGGTGCCTGGCATGAGTTTAAGTCACAGGGTCCAGGACTCGAACCTTTGTCGACTACATGGGAGTCCAGCGACATAGCCATTACGCTAACTGCTGGTCCCCAAAAAACCCAAAAACTTTAAAAAAATAACTAAAAAAATTTTTAAATTAAGCCCAGGATAAGCAAAAGAGGATAATGAAACATTAATTTGAATTTCTCAGAATTTTATAACTATGATTGTACTACTCATGTGAGATAAAAAATACTTCATAAAAAATGTATTATTTAAAGTCATTTAGACCAGAAGAATCCTTTTTAGTGTATTAATTAAATTATCTTCAATTAGTATCTGATTTTTTAAAGAAAAATTCTTTAAAATGATAAAATAGTCAATCTTTTTGAAATTTCACCAAGAACCAGTTTGACTAATTATTAATATTGGTGGTATTCATGAAATGATAGATTGAGAAAACTTAAATTATGGGGCTGGCAGGTGGTGTGGTGGTTAAGGGCACTAGACTCCCACATGGCTGACCGCAGTTCAAGTCCCGGACCTGGCAGCTTGCTCTCTCTCTCTCTGTCTCTCAGTCTGTCCTTCTCAGGTAAAATTAAAATGAATAAATAAAGTTAAATAAAATAATTCTTTAAATTTTTTTAAAAAACTCAAATTATTTTCATGAATGCATAATCTTATAAAGATTATAGTAAAAGTAAAAATTATGCATGCTCTCTGTTAATAAGAGCATATGAAAAAGAAAAACAAATTGAAATAAAGAGTATTTTATATGCCATATGAACAAAACTTTATTGATGATCAGTTAGGCTAAAGTAATACTTACATGAACAAGTACAGTTGAACAGAAAGGTCATGTGATAGTTACTGTATATGGTAGCCCTTACAGAGCCTAGAAAGCCCTCTCTTTTTCCTCATAAACCCTCTCTTTTTTCTCATAAAATAATATTTAGTTCAGAAAGTTTAAGGAGCTAAAAATTCCAATGGAATTAAAATATAATTTAGATTTAAATTTTATAACCATTAGCCTGTAGTGGAACACATATAATCTATTTGCA